AACAAACAACAACAACAACAACAATAACAATAACAACAACAGTAAAAACAACAACAATAAAAACAACAACAACAACAACAATATCGAATGCAATATTGTTACCAATCTTATTAAAGATATAAAAACAAGTTAACGTCATAATAATCCTGATGGAATTAATTAATATTACTATTCTTCAATATTGCATCGTCCACATAATTGTTCCAAGAAAAAAGCCTTAATGTTGAATCTCTGACATTTCAATCGTCAAGAAACCTTTGTAATATCTGAGTTATTGGAATAAGTGATATTCATTTCACAATTAATTTGTTATGCAAATTACCTAAAAGTGTAGGTTCATTAGTATTCAGTAAATATTGTTTATGAAGTACTGGAAAATCTCAGAAACTTTAAGACAGAATCCCACTCCCAGATCTTTAAGCTTCAAGACGGAGAGGAGGAGGAGGAGGGAGGGGGGGGAGGGCATGCTAACTGAACTAAGTGACACTTCTAGAGAAATCAATCAAGACTTGGATAAGTTTATGTTAGAAAACTCACTCGTAAATCATAGAATAGTATCGTTTCAGTTTGTAAATTTTCATTCATCTCAGAGCACTTTTCCATAGATGGAATGGGTATTCTCGAAGATCGATGGAAAAAAAGATAGCTTTTGTCGTTATTGATTGTTGTCAAAAAACTTTTTGAAAAAATAATTTTCCAAGCTTTAAAATTGAATTATTCTTAACTTCATGTTTTCAATAGCAAATGTAATAAGGGTAAATCGTGACGAATCATTTATGTAGAACTTTGAAAATGAACTGATAAACGTTTATCATTCTTGTCTTTTTTACACATCCGTGATTAGCATATCCGGAAAGTCAAGCTTGAGCCACTTTAATTTGCTTAAATGATGTGAAGAACCTTAGCTGAGAAGCATTTTAAGCCAAAAAGGTGATAATTTTGTAAGGAAGGGATAATTGAAAATAAATTTTTTACGACATTTCAAATATTTTACTTGAAGAAAAAGTGCGAAAGTTGTTTACTCACTTTAATGTTGTTTATTTTAAAAATGAATGGACAAAGAGAAATTAAATTGAATTGTTATAAAGTAGAAGTAGATAAAAAAGGTAAAAGAAGGAAAGTATATTCACTTGTAAAGATACAATTTTCAAGAAAACTTACAATGTAGCAATCAGGACGAGAAATTGTGTTTAAACAAACATTTTCAAACATTAGCTTAAGATCAAAAGTATCAATTATTCAGCATCTCTAATATTGCTCATAAATCAGCCGGCATCAAATGATGCCGCCTATCAGACGTATTCTAATCGATGATTTAGAATTAAATTAATAATTTACATTGAAATTTCTAAATCTTTCTGATTCGTTTTCAATCAAACAAAGTAATACTTTCATGCATTATACGTTCCAAATTATTTTGATAGAAATTTGTTTTAATTTGTATAATATGAAATAGAAAACGTTGACTAAGTAAATGTGACATTTTTGCAAATTTTGAAAGAGAAACTAAAAAAAGGAATAAAATGCCGATTTTCTTTTTTTTGCTTTCAAGATAAAATAGATGAAAAAATTTTTTTTGAGAAATGATTTTCCAAACTTTGTAAAACTGAGTTATTTCAGAGTTCAGTTTTTCAATATTAAATGTAATAAAGATAAGGTCATGAATGAGTCAGAGACGTGAATAAAATAAAAATGAACAGATGACGATTATAACAGTGAAATGAAATAGAATTTGCAATGAAACAAAGTAAAGTATCCTTTGCTTGTCTAAAATTAGAATTAAACAACAAATGCTTCCATAATGTTATTGAAATATTGTTGAAATGGGTCACTCATTGGAATTCATTTGATCCATTACTTCCATTAGATCAGATCATTATGAACATTGTCAATAGGTTCCCTTAAACAAAGTATTTAACGATTTTGATCCATTCTTGTTCAATCTTTTGCTGCATATTTACATTAATTATTCATGTCACTCGTGTCACCTGCTTTTATCCCTACCTTCTACCTTCTATTAATATATCCTTAACTAATGTTCACATCTAATTCACGTAAAAATGTTTCACGGTATATTCCAATGGGTATACAACTATTTCCTCAAACTTGACAGTATCACGTGTTAAAAGATAAAGATTACAAATATCTCACTTTACTGATAACTGTTTGGAAATGGATGAAAGAATATTAATTGAATGAACACTGAGAGAGGATCGAATTATTCATTCATTCATTGTATAATAAATTAAATTGACAGAACTTATTTCTTTTCTTCGTCTCATCAATAAACAAAGCCAGTTTTTAGAAGTTTGTCATGAAAGAATTCAATTTGATCGTGTTTTGAATGTGGGAAGTTTGTTAGTGATAACCTTAACAATACTTGTTTGGAAAATTGAATGATAAGTTTGTTGATGTATTAATACAGCAATGACCTTATCATTCTTGTATAATTTTTTTTTCAAAATTTTCGATAAAAGTTTAAAATTTTAAAAGGACTTTTACTAACCTAAAATATGAGATAAGACATAGCGGAAGCATTTAGAATGCTATATCCAGTATTTCCCAGTTAATGATCCCGGGAGAAGAGAGTTGGATTATTTTATGGGGAAGAAAGTAAATAAATATTATTATATAGTTTGCTAAATAATATGTAATTATGGTTAATGGACAAATAAATTTATTTGTGTGATAAAGGAAAGTGACAGATTATGACTGTAAGAGAATTTAAATTCTGAATATAGCATATCACTAAAATCAACTTATCATTACATTAAGTGTTACGTACATTGAGGAAAAGAAATAATTTTTTTTCAAAAATAAAATTACAAATTTCTTTATTAAAACAAATTAATGTCAGAGATAAAAAATAGCAAAGAAAATGAATAAACAGCTTGTTTTGAGATGGAAAATAGCACAGCTGGCTTCTGGAAGATGCCACCTGCAAACTTTGTATCGAATTATTTCATTGAAAGTGACAAATGAACATGCAAAACAGATATTCGACCATTTCACAAATAAATCATTTTGCCTTTCTGGAGGACAAACAACAAACATATGTTTGTTTCATTTGATCAAAATTCTTTTTCTACTGTATAACAATTAAAATTAGATCGAATTGAACGATTACTTAAATATTTTGATCTGATAAGAATCATCCAAAAATTAGTGCAAACAGATTAAGATGCAATCAAAGACCCATTTATCAGTTGATATTTGGCCTATTAGATGTAATGATGACATAAGATGACTGCATCCGCCTACACGTTGTATTACATTACTTTTTGAACAGTTGTTATGTCACATAGACTTACGGCCCAAAGATTTGGCTTTTGGTAGCAAATATGCTAATTAGCTAAAGAAACAATATTTTGACAACTGATAGGGCAAAAATTTTTTCTCATAAGGCCAATATAGAGGTAATAATGATGAAAGGGTTCTGACGAAAGAGAAATTACTAACCTAAAATGGTACTAACAGGTACTAATAATTTGCGAAAACGGAAGAAAAGCCAATTGCAATTCTGTTGTACACACAATGTGAACTTGTTTATCTCGGTGCTATTGTCGCGCCTATTGAGCACAAATGATGATGGTGACAACAGCGACAACGATGATGATGATGACGATGATGATGATATGGTGAAGGTAATGACGACGATGATGAATTGAGGATAAGAGACAGTTGTATCTAACCATAGAGGATAGGCGAACAAATGGAGACCCAAATAGGCCAGCTAGTATGAATGAGTAATTCAAATTGATAGTAAGGGAGAGGCAAACAAATGGACATAGAGAGCCATAAGTGAACTGACATGGGCGAACTGAAAAACGGAAACGACAGCTGCAGTAAAAAGGATATAGACAAACGGTAAACTGAACAGGTGAGAGAGGGAATGAATTTAATTTGATTTCGAATAGGAAATGTCTGGAAATGAAGGACTGATATATCAATCAACTCTCCATTGTCATTTCCGATGATTAATTCGCCCATTTGTGATTTAGCTAAATGATTTAAGTGAAGCAAAGAGCCTTGAAGAATTGAAGTAAGGTGTGAAATGCGGGAAAAAGGTGAAGGATAAGCTATGAATGATATCGATAATTAATGGATCATAACTGGTTTGTAGATGAAATGTTATCATTATAATGATCGTCCACAAAATAATACAGCTATTGATAATGAGTAAAAAAATTATGATAATCTCTATTAAGGTTAATATTATATCAGCTTTAAGAATGATGAATTAGTTAATTCGAAAATGGAAAACGAAATTATCGATTTGAAAATAAAGAAATCGGCATGAATTTTCTGGAGGTCATAAAATTTGCTGGTTTACTAGATAAAAGTTAGGTTTTAACTTTCTCATAAAATTAATATTTCGATCGCGTCTTAACAGTCAAGCTAAATTGAATTTAACTTGTTTCCTAATCTTTTATGTTAATTTGTTCATTCTAATATTTCTAGTCCCGTTTAAATTTCCCATTTTTGATTCAGATCTGGTTGAAATATAATAATCGATTACAGTGTTGCAACAGCACAGTTTAATGAAATTTATCATAAATTTCCATATCAGAACGCTTTAGGTTGACATTATAATCAAACAAAAGATGGAATGCGATGGTGGTAAAACCATATTTCCTTTAAATTGTTATTTACTATAACCAGAATTCTGCTTGAAAATATGAAATTTAAATTGGATCGCGAATATACCATTATAAATTAGAACAGAAAATTGACAACAAATTGAAACTAATCCAAAATTTGTTGGCAAAATATGACCTAGATATTAATTTTCAGTTAAATCTAAAATTTAATTTAAATCAGGTCGAATAATTTCGTTTTGGACATGAATAAAATCACTGAAATAGTCTTTACCAGATTAAAGAACTGTTAATGAACCAAACGGATTAGTACTGTCAATAATATGTCAACAGGAAAAATAACTGATAAGAAGGAAGTTACCATGCTTTATCATGGCTACAACAGACTCATATGCTAAAAGCAAAAATATGAAAACATTTCCTACCGTCCACAACATTACCATATCGCAAGAAAGGAAGGATCGATCGGTCAATAATGTCTACATTGGCCTTCCGAGGGAAGACTTTTAATGATAGTCGCGGAAATCGTCCCGGTTATTGGGTAACTTTCCGGTATTTGTAAAGATTTATTCATCTCAATTCGCAAATATGATGAACATATTGGTCAGAAGAAGTGTATATAATTGCAACTGGTTATTTCTCATATCCATCCATTTAACATTATCATTATGATTTAACCTGTTTCGTCCACTTATCCCACTCTCTTCCTTTATCAGATAATCATTTTAATAGCATTACGGTACCTCTCATCCTTCTTCTCATAACTTCCCTATTACTACTAAGTAACTTCACTTTTTCTTAATAACGATAATTGCAATCAAATATATTCACGATTATTATTTGATCCCTCACAGTATTCCTGTGATTGATTTTGAACTTTGATATTCAAACATCTTATGACAATTGAAACTGAACAATTGAATTTATTTGAAACTTTGTCATAGGGTGGGAATACCGGACGACACCGTACACTTCATCGTTTCTGGATCACGATAATGCTTACGGAATATAAATTCGCAAAACAAAAGATCGGATATGAAACAATGGGAGAGATAGACAGAGCACAGAGCTGGACAATAAATAATAAAAGAGGTGGACATAGCCAGACAACAATAATGTCCTTTAGTTAGCCCATACAATGACCGCTCCTTTCACTCTTTGCAAATATTTATGAAATGGTTCAAAATCAAAAAAAGGACAAAGAATGATGAATAGTGAAAGAGAGAGAGAGAGAAAGAGAAAGAAAGGACAAATAGTCGTATATAATAATGATTTCTCGAGAACTACGTAATGACAAATATTGGAAGGTCCCAAATTTCTGGGGGTTATTTGAAAGGGAACAATTGGAATGTCGGCATATCGTCTTGATAAAATTCTTTCTCCTTTTCTCCCTCTCTCTCTCCGTTAAATCCTTCAAGGGCGCAGAAATAATTTGCATAGATTATTATAATATAAATAAGTTTTCTTATTATGATTACACTCGTAAAGGGTAAACTGAAAAGGAAGGATGCGATTGGATGGAGCATGACAGGACTTGATGAATTTGGATAGAGGTGACAATCTAAAATGTCATATATCCATTCCGGCAACTATTCGGTTACAGTTATGTTTCGTACTTCTGCCAAAAAACTATATGTAAGCAAAGCAGAAGTTTTCAAATATCTAGGTACCATGTGGAATGAAATTCATTTAAAATTTAATTTAATTTTAAAATGTTTTGTTATAACATGAAAAATGCTAATAATTATTCATTTATGAGACATTCTATAAAATTGCTTTCTTCATGAAATCTCGGGAAATATTTTGGTAACATTCCACATCCATTCATTCAGTATTACCCTTAGTTTTAAACTCCCGTTTTTTTCTTTTTTTTGGATTTAAATGTTTTCACCCAAAATTTTTTGATCGACTCAAAAAATCTAAATTCAATGCCGTTTATCTGCTTAACAATAAGCATTCCGGTTTATCCTGATCAGTACCTTATCAGATCAAATCATAAATATATTTACATTCATATCTGCATGCATGCATCATGCCTCCGTATGATCGTACTCATGTGCTTGTGCATGTGCATGTGCCTGCGTAATCGAAATGTATAGGCAATACAATATTTTAGGAATTTAACGTCAAATAGAAGGGCGTGTAATCGACTGGCACGAAGTTACACGCGTCCGACCTTTTCATTAAGTGAATTGTGCTTAAGAAGTTCTCTTAGTTGTCATCAGAAAACTTACCAAAGTGATATATCATCCACCTCACTGACAATTATCCTATCTACGGTGACAATTATTTGGCCTTGATAATAATGATAACATTTACTTCCTTCTTTGTTATATCAACCACATTTCACACCATTATAGCTTAGCTGCTCTTTAATCAATATATGTTATAATGACAATGATTATTTTGACAAAAACCTAAACTTATTTGATTGATTCAATCGAAATAGACAAGAGAATGAAATTTCACTGAATGGTTTAGAACCGAAAATTTGAACTCCGAACTTTTCGCTCGAAATATTTTGTAAGTGATACTACTGTATGAATGAATAATTGCAGTAATGTTAATTAACTGCAACTATTGCAATATGAACTTTGAGTGCAGTTGCTACAATAAGAAGTGATTGAAAACATATGACATAATTTTCCTATGACAAGTTGTCACTGTTGCATAGATATTTGATATATTAAATAAACTTTTTGCAAATCCAAAAAGAAAAAAAAAATTAATCGGTTAATAAAACGAAAGTTGGCGAGAAAAACTTAATCAAATACTTCCTTAGCTGTTTGGTTCGAAAAGAGCACTTCAAATAATTACTTTAAGAAGAAGTTGAATGTATTCACTATGAAAAGGAATTTTTAAAGAACTCAACTAAATCGGCACTTATTGAAATGTATTTCAGTTTCAAATACCTCTCAAAGGATTAACAATTGTTATTATTAGCATCGAAAAGACATAAAAGCATCCATTTTATGCAAAAGATAAAATTCCTTAACAAGGATAAATATCTGATGAAAATTAATATTATTCGAAATTTTTAGCAATATTTACTATTTATTGAAGAATTTCTTACATTTTAATACCTTTTGATACTACCAACAAAGAAAACAAAATTTATTCGAAGATATGCAAATTTTTGAAGTAAAATATCCTAATTTCAAGTTTATATACATATCATATTGCCAATTTCAATCATTTTCTTATTTATCAAACAGTCAAACGTAATTAGCTTTTTCATGAGAGCAAAATATCTACTTCAGTGGCAAGATTTATGGTGATTCAACCGATACTTCGAACTAAATCATCGAAATCGATGGCAGCAATAAAAGTAGTAGATGATATGATGATAAGTAAAGCTGAACTAACCTTAGGTGCATCACAAACGGGTGATACAAATACAGGTGCTATTCAATCAAAATCATTGTCAAAGCATTCTAGACAACGAAAAGTGTCAAAGAATCTCTTTTCGCAAGAAGAGAGACAAAAAAGAGAGCAAAATGAGAAAGATGTTAACATCGCGAAGCTAAAAAAGAATGAACGGGTCAATAAATGGCTAATTATGGAGTTTATTGGTAAAGGTGCATTCGGATGTGTTTATAAAGTTTGTCTTTCAATATTGAACGAACTTAAATAGTTGACACGACATTGTTACCCTAAATTTAACAGTCTTACCGTAGCACACTATTGGGAAAAATTTTCACATTTATTAGAGATAATGTTACAGGTCGGATATCATGGTGAACGATATGCGCTTAAATTCGATCTCGGATGCTGCAGTGATGTAATTATCGATTTTTTCGAATTCATTTTAAAAATTTATTATTTTTTAGAATTCATTTTAGCAAAATTTTAAAAGTAAATGATCATTAATTATCATGAACCTTTGCCAGAAAATCCTTATGCAGCGGATAATTGCGATATCATCGCTCACAAATGCGATATTTGACTGGTCAACTTTTGATAATCAATAATCAATCACACCTTGGCCGTAGCTTTCCGCTGTATTTTTGGAACTTTTATGATAAATAATGTACTGATAAAATCCTCTGCATGCATTATTACAACCAATTCACGTTATTGCAAGTAATATTGCGGAAAGAAAAACAGCTATTTGACCAATATTCTTTGGACGATAAATTTCCTATTTTTTCGATTACAATTTAAATTTAGACTATCTTCTGAGTTGAATGCTTAATTCCAATTTAGAAACCACTACTGGTTGAAAAGCACGTTTTGGAATTAGCTAAACAAGCAGAAAGTAAACATATCGGTCGACTTATCGATTATGGGAGTTATTGCGGCTTTGAGTACATTGTAATGACACTTGTTGGCAAATCGTTACGAGTAAGTTGATGGATCATTTTTACCTTTTTTTTTTCTTTTGAATTAAATTTACTTGGACTTTACCAGTTATCCAAAAATCTTCTCATTCAAAATCATTGAAATGCTGGCCATATTAGGATATTCTAATGGAACGGAAAAGGAAAAAGTTCTCTGCCGGATGTGTCATTTCAGTTGGCCTACAATGTGTGGAAGCAATCGAAGAACTCCATCGAGTTGGATTCATTCATCGGTAAGTCAATGTCACCTTTAATATAAAACAAAGTGTCATGGTGAGGAATGACTATAACTTTTCAAGACTAAAAAAGTCCTATTAATATCTATCTTTTAGATCGGTCTTGCAGGACTATTAGTATAATGGCAAGCAAATATAAGTTTAAATTGATTTATTATTTATGAAGTTGTGATTCTTATCATACAGAAATATATCTTCTTTGTATATTTATTATTGAAATTAATTTTCAATAATTTTTAAGCGATATAAAACCATCAAATTTTGCCACCGGACGAACTGATCTCGTAAACGGCGCTCGAAAAATTTTCCTCATTGATTTTGGTTTGAGCTATCATTACGTCGATTCGAAGGATCAAATAAAGCATTTAAAACGCGTAAGTGAGGTCGATCTTCAAATCCCTTGTAATCTTTATTCTTCTTCTTTCTTAACTTCTATCTAAAATTCAAGTATACAGGGTACCAGCTTCAAAGGGACATTACGTTATGCACCATTGGGATGTCATCAACGACGTCCACCAGGTCGTCGTGATGACCTTGAATCCTGGATGTATCAGCAGATCGAATTTACAAAAGGATTTTTACCGTGGAAAAATCTGGATAATGAGCAAGCTATTATGCATGTAAAAGTACATCACAGTTAGACTTTTCTCTCTCAAAGAAAAAAAAAGAAAAACAATCAATTATACCTTTTTTTTCCATTGAGAAAATTTTATTAGTAGGTCCCTCGAAATCAAAAATGTCTTCTAAAATTAAATGAATTGTAATTTCAGTATTTAAGTTCATTCATATATGTTGAAAATTCTTCTTCACAGGAAACAATTCGAACAAATGATGGCATGCAAAAGCTGCTCAAATCTTGTCCTAAGAAGTACATGGAAATAATGAAGTATATATGCAAATTGAAATACACATCCAAGCCAGATTACGATCTCATTTATAAGGTTACATCCTCCTAATACTTAAATAGTTGAGATATAAGATGCTCTAATTCAGTAACTTCGAACGAAAAAAAACAAAAATTTTCTGTACTCTAGTAATTAAATGGAACTGCTTGTCAATTTTTATCGATAAGAATGCCACCGCCCCATAATTTCTTCAACTATATTCATTAACAGTTAAATTAATTAGAGCTAAAATCAATCAAAGAAGTGAACTGATATTAACTGATAATTTGCATATGTAAATTGTAGATGGGAAAAATTGATTTTCAGTTGCTTCGAAAAATTCTCTTTGAAGCCAGACTGCAGGAATATCCATACGATTGGGAATATAAATCTTTGGGATATTTTCGTAGAAAATGAAATCGATTTTTTTTTTGCCAATAGTTTCTTGGTGCTATTAGTAAGTTTTACCATACTTTTATCACTGATAAAGGATTGGAATTTTTTATATTATTTACTAATTTGAACAGATTAAAGATTATTTTTAGCATTAAAAAGTGATTTAAATATAAATTTAGTATGAAAGCATAATAATCTGAAGTAAGGCAAATGTATTTGTAAGCATTAGCTTAACAACTGTCACATGTAATGCTGATAGACTAGACTAAGCTATTATAATTAAATCAAACTTGCCAAATTTCTATTTCACACATTTTGGACTAATACAACTTGACTTCCTGAGTAAAATGAATTGACGAGTGGAAAATTAGAAATGTTGAACAATCAGGAAATGCTACAAAACCGGACATTTCCAATCATTTGATGAAAGCTATAAAACATTCATTTAAGGCAAATTTACCTAATATCAATAATTTAACTTATCATTTCCTTAATGTTTGTTCATCGTTAACAATCTATTTGATTCGTCAAATTGCGACAAAAACAAACGAAGGATAAAGGAATTAGAGGAGTGAACTCTAAACATATAGTAGTGAAAGTAATTATTCGAAATTAGTTGAAATTTATGGATTTGGAAAATTACAATATGCGCAGAGATAATATAAGTATGCTATCAGAGAAGATAATGAAGAAGCCAAGAGGGATAATGAGCCGAACATAGCCGGCATACGTTTCAGTTCATTAAATTATTCAGTCGTTGCTAATCTCATAGAAAATAACTAGGCCACCATCTATCCACTGATCACATCCGTAATGAGTATCATGTATACTAGACTATTTCAACTTAGATTACACCAATTTGAATTCTTTCTCTCTACGACAATCTAATCTGGTCACATATTGTTTACCAGTTAGTTTTATGACTATCGGTTGATAAAGGAGGACGGAGGAAAATTGCATAGCTTTAGTCTGGTAAACCCTGATCACTTTAGGTCACTTCAGTAGTACCTGGTCTATCTGGGTCAACTAGCACAAGAAGCCGAAAGGTCACTCATCCTATTGTATGTATATTTGATTTCTAGTGAAAGTAATAGTTTTATTATAGCTCTACAAGTGTTTCATCGATAATCATCAATCTTCGCAAAGAAAAGCAAATTGTGGTTCAAAATGGATGATTTATTGATCCAATTTCAATTATTACACACTCATTTGAACATTTAAGCATTTGTGAATGGGATTTTAAACAAATTTTCTAGATTATTCAAGTGGAAGATTTTAAATGAAAAATTTAAATTACCAAAGAGTTCGTAAAAATTAACTCAAAAAGATTATCATAATTTGTGGTTAAATTAAAAGATATAATTGAAATGATGAAATCTACTATCGATTAAATTCGATCAACGTTACTACCACCTCTGTTTTTTCACAGGATACCATAGTAAGAGATTTAGCGTCTACGTGTTGAATCAAACGAGGTGATTGTACAACTCACGAATAACATTATCGATGTGTCCTTATTAATGAAGTAAGGATTTGACTGATACCTTAATTACTTTTACTATTAATCTTTATGTCCTTATTGTAAACCTTTCCTTTTTATATTTGTCTATAATGGACGTTTAATTGAACAAGTGGGTGTTAAATTTAAAAAAGTAAATTTTCTTATGAATTAGTTCAAATTGTTACAATGATAGTTTATTTTCAACGATAGTTCACTGATTCTTCATCTGAAAGATCTTTCTAATCTACGGTAGGAATCTTTCATTTGTTCAATGATACTTTGAAAAAAATCAATGATTATTGTAAATCATTTCATTTCACAATATGTTCATTGTTGAAAACAACTGATATATTTTGTCATTACGATCTCCTAGAAGTTTCAATCGGATTTCCTTAAGAAATTCTCGCTTTTGATAATCAAAGAAGTCGATGAAAGAGTCCATTAGTTCATTTGTAAATTTAGAATTGAACCTTCACTCTGAAGGGAAAATTGAAATACTGGCTGGGCAAATGCATTGGTGACAATCTAAGCGCAAGAGAACAGTGTTAACTGTTTCTGTTCCGACTTTATATTCGGTTCTATTTCTTCGTTTCATCTTCTATAGTTGAAACTTCTCACTGTCTGTTTCCTTTAGCAACTTTTTAAAATAGCTTTGAATAATTGGAGTAATTGTAAGCGGAAAGATAATGTTAACATCCAAAATTAATGAACTGAGTTAAATAATTAATGAATTTCGAATTTTATAAAATTGTCTGAAATCATTCGATCAAAAATACTTTCAACACAATCAATTATCCAATGATAAATAATTCATTCATTTCATCAGTTCTTTGTAATATTTAATCTCATTGTTCTAAATTTACAGCCTTTTTTAGGCTCAACATTAATTAAGAAAAAATAAAATTGATTCATCCCAACTTGGCAAAAAAAAAAATATTTCAGATAGATTCACAAATTAACGATAACGGAAGATTGCATAATGCTGTTGTTGAACATTATAAAGAGTGCTTAGAGTTCAAAAGGTTAATTAGTCAGGTTGCCATTGTAAATGCTATATTAGTAATGATAACACCGCTTAATGATATTAGGACAATTTCCAAAACATAATGATCATGCTTGCTTCTCTGCCAAAGGATCATTCTCCCTTTGTCAAATGTATAAAATGGCTACAAGTTTTGAGGTGACAATTGTTGAGAGCAGAAAAGAAGATTGACAAAAGCACGGCTGAATTAGTATAAAAATAGAGTAAATAAGTCAACAGAGTAATATTATCTCTACATCTGTTTATTTCTATTACAATTCTTCCGTCACCAAACTCTCTCTATCTACAAAAATTCCCGAGATAAGCGCACTTTACTAAGGTCACCTGACACTATTAACTTCCCTATCATCGTCGCAGCTTTCCATGACCTTGCTTTATTCACATTTTGCATTAACTTATTTACTTTCACATATTATTACCAGTTGATCGATGATGCTTCAGTTAATGCCACCGGAATAGAAGTGTTAATACGGATGTTTGGAAATGGGATAAATCTGCTTTCATCAGACGTTCCTTTCATCTTACGTACGTGATGACATGTCATTTCATCTAGTTTAAACTTGAATTATACAGTTACATGCATGCAACTGCGTGTAATGCTTATAGCATGGTATCTATTATTCATGCATAATTGTGATCTGGTTCAAATTTAGGCAAATTTCGGGATTTGCTACAGTTAAATACTTCCTTTTTTTTTTGAGTCAAACAGAGTTAACTAAAAGCAAAATGCGTTTTTCATCTGTCACAACTAGTTCTGAACATCTTGCTGTGTAATACCTAGCAGTAGAGTAGTACCTAAGTATTATACAATCAACTGGCTTAATGATCTAGCAAATAGGCCTGTTTGCTGTCAAACTGTAACTTCTCCGCTCAAAGAATAACAAATTGTAAAAAAAAAAAGAACAATTAAAAAAAAAATCCCCGTATCCGGGAAGAACTAACGCATCAGTTTACGGTTAATGACATTTTTCATCAAACCGGTCCCCCCCCCGCATCACTTCCCCCCCGCATTCAACCGTACTGTTTTCTGCTGCCCTTACGATCTTGTTTATTTACATGTGTGTGTACATGTGCCTGTCGCTTGCGTCCTTTTCTTTCTGCTCTTTGTAAAATGAAAATGCCAATAAAGTTAAAATGATAATTTTGTCCAACTACGTGCAAACTCTTCCCATACTTTTTCCTTATACTTCCCCCTTTTCAACTGGTTTTATCATTTTCTTTAGGTAAGTATTTCATTGGTAATATCCAAAGTACGGATCTGATCTTGTATATATACAAGCTCTGTTTATGTGTCGTATGTTTACCTGTTCCGATTAATTACATAAACTTGCTATTATAATTAATTAGCCTTTTAATTAGTAATATTTCGTGAAACATTTTTACTGATTGACCCCCCATATGGCTTATTTTTCATGCAATATTTTTTTTCTTTATTTAATGTAAATTTCATTCAAAACGAAGGACATTTGCAGCACTTTTTTACTTCTAAACAAATATTTCTTATTGTTATTTAATCTCATTAACTGTTCGTTGTATGAAATTACTTTTTCAGAATGAAACAGTTGTGATGATGAATTTTATTTTGATGAAACTTTAGAGATACTTCATCTTTAACATTTATTGGTCGGTCCATTGTAAAATATAATCGTGAAATTTTATTAAATCCTAAAATTTTAAATTTTAAATTTTACGCGATAAATCCTTATCAAGGTAAAGAAAAGACTATAGGATTGATTTTTTCAAGTAGCTTATTGGCAGATGACTTTAGGATCAATGATGCAACTCAAATAGCACTGAACAAGGGGAATTCATTGGAGATAATGTTATCAAATTAGATTGATTACAGGTCAATTGAGATTAGATTGATTAAATGGTAAATTTGTGATTGATAACTGATGACAAATTATTGAATAGGTAGAAAATTCCGCTTCCGCCCACGTCCCTTATCAAAGTTCACTCGTTGACGTTTTTTTTTAAAGAATCTTTTCAAACGAACAGATTCATTTAGCAAAAATTGATTGAAATCAAGCATTAAAGAGCGCAGATGCATTTCATTTTTCTTTTTTGTAATATTTCAAAACGAGAAATGAATTTTAACATTTAATTCTTGCAAACGATGTTGATTGCATTCAAATCTTTGGCTACTTTATGCATATCGTGCATTATCATGCAGTGCAGGCATTGTATATTAGCTAACAATTAGTTCTTAGCTTTTTTCCAGCTAATTACTGCTTACTTTAAGCGAGAGAATTTTCTACATATGACTGTTTGAAGCATACTTACTTACGTTTACATCTCATAAACACTAATTAGCAGTCTTAAAAATGTGGCTACTCAAGATGAGTCATAAGTTCGCCAGGTAAAACATGAGTCATAGGTTCACCAGGTAAAACATGACTTTAATTAACGAAAATTTGTTAGTTAGATAATTAATTAGTAAGTAGTTTTAAATAACCTTTGCATTACAAAACTGAAATGACCTTTGAAGCCGTATCTTCCATTGAGCAGATTACGTGTACTTCCTCTATTGAATAAATGCACCTTTGGCGGATTTAAATTGCGCCAAATCCTACTTTTATGAGTAAAAGGTTATTTCCATACTACAATTTAACCTTTCGATCGTCAAACATAATTTCATGTACTATGAAAATTTATGCTAATTTCTGAAACTCAACTGGCATCTTAAATTACTCAATCATATCACTGAAAGTTTTCAAATAACTTTCTTTTTTTAGAATTCTATAACAAAAAAATTTCGTGCAATTGGATCTCATTAACGAATTATTATTAATTTGGCATGACAAATCTTGAATGTCTAATCCAGTTTACAAGATATACAACATTAATTAACCTGCTTCTTAATTAGCAAAATCCTAATTAAAATAACTCTTATATACCATCCATATCATACATGAAGCATTCCTCTGATATTTATCCGTTGGTTTTATTTCCTTGTTATAATAAAGTGAGTAATTATTCGGTTGGTTGTCTAAACTGTACTAGTTATTAAGTAATTAAATAATTAAATGCATTATATTATTCATCACAAAACACCAACCTTTCGTCACATTCGCTCTTAAAAAAATGTGACGGAAGTTTTAATCCTAAATTTCACATTTCCACTGAGATTTTAATTAGATCTTTGTCGTATTTTAATGTTGTCAAAAGCAATTTCTTATCTTTTTTCATCCGTTTTTCTTCCTTCTCTTCGAAAGAATTTTACAACTTAAAATCCCACCGATTTTATCACAATTTTTGTTTATTTCTCAACTTCGAATTAAATTACATAAAATTTTGCGTCAATTTTGGTGAAACTTTTATTAATGGAAATAAAGTATGAGGATTAAATGGTTAGTAAAAAGGGAATGGTCAAATAGATAATTGGTCATTTTGAATCATTCATGACAAAATAAATTTGGATAGGTCTGAATAATTCAGTGTTTCAATAATCAATTTCATGAATGAATATATGAGGAAAATTACTTTTGAATAGATATAACTAGCAGTTGGAAATTATTTATGAAATAAATTTCATTTAAAATTTTACACGAAAGATATTAGTTAAGCAATAAACTTACATTTCATTATAATTTGCAAAATTGTAGATCATATGGAAGAAACAGACAAATCATCTTCAGCATCATCCCGCTCAATTCCCGCATATCATCGAGGAAATGGTGCATTACGTGGTGGTGGTATACAGAAAGTATACCGTTCTGGACCGGTCAGTCTTGAATTTCTTTGATCAATTCAACAAATCCTTTTTTTTTTAAAAAAAAATCTTGCATAGTTTCAGTTTTCCTGATGACATAAAACGATACTTTAGAATTCCAACATAGAATATACTTCCAGACATTCAAAGCATATAAACGGAAACTGGATCATCGATTGGGATACTGTATTATCGGTTGCTTGATCACAATCGCCCTTGCATTGACCATTTTTGGTTTATTTCACGAAATGGCACATGAGGAATTAACGCAATATATAGAATCAACACGTGAATTGATCGTGAATTCCATACCTTCAACAATGTCACAAAGTATTATCACTTCTGATTCCGATTTATCAGAAATCACTTCAACCAGCGATGAGGAAATGCTACTTAATGATGATGATGATGATGATGATGATGATGATGATGATGATGATGATGATTGGTTAGATGGTAAGTTTATCGAAACTTTCAAATATTTGAAAAGATTTCAAAATTCCACGAAAGATGACTGCAAATTATCTTCAATTGCTACAAAAAAATCTCTCTATTCTACTTTTTCCTCAATTTTTAATCATACCATTCAAGTACGTTAGCAATTTCAACACTTTCATTTAATCTGAAATGAATTATTTAGAGATATTTTAGTATTACTGTAAGCCTTAGATAGGAATTAGACCAATGATATTTCTCTCTATGGGAATATATTGAAGTGACCGATGAAAAAGTATTGGAGGAAGTGAACAGATTAACTAATAAAGCGATAATGGAATTACTGTTTAATTTAACTGATATTCCACTATTCCTATTAATTTTTTAATCAAATTAATAAAATTTTCTTTTTTTAGAAAATATATTTGATAATTTAACTGTATTGCCGTTAGAAATGATACTGGGCATGCCGAATTCAGGGGAACACAATGATATGCTACAGAATGATAATGCACCGGATGAGAAGATACTAAGCATTCCGTATCATGAACCGGATACTTGCTTTGGATCCGAAGATGTTGATAAGAATAAATGTCTAGTAGTTGCCGAACTTGATGAATATCACAACATATTACTCAGAGTATGTCATATATCTATTAATTTTCATGATTTCGGAAAATTTTCATTTAACCTTATTTCATTAGAAATGACCGATTTGACCTGAATAACCGATCATTTCTATTTTTCCAAACAGCTTAAGGATACAACAAAAACAATTCCATTACTTTCTAAAAGCTTTTCGAATATTAATTTGCGAAATAGACTCCACAAATCAATGATTGATGATTACGATATTAATCAATATCCATAGTATGTTGATTATATAATTAAATCAATAATCTATCTTCTTGAAGGATGGTTCATTTAAGTCTTCCCAATTAATAAAATTATTTTCAGTCACATATAGCTTTGTGGAATTTGGTTACTGTAAATATTATTGTTGTAATATTCCTTTCACCATTTACATACATGTTTAATTTCGAAATTGTCAAAAATGAGTACTACAAATTATTTTATCGTGTGAGTGAACTTTCATTACTTTGTTTACTTAATTATTAATCATCTATCAATCGTCAGAATTTGTTCTATAAAACAAAATTTGACATTTAATGATGACATGCAATGACAAAAAGAGCGTAAATTTGAATTGAAAATAATTTAAGTATAATTGAAACTGTTAAATGGAATTAAATTATTTATTACATTTGAGTTCGAGCAATTGTTGATAAATTTAAATTTCAGATTTTTCTCGTCCATAAAGCTTTATACATTTCAGGTTGTTCTATTCTTGGTACTTTTCTTTATGGCTGCACAGTTAATTGTGCTAATTAATCCATTGCTGTGCAGTTCATTCATGTATCCTACTATCGTGGACAAACTTTTCATTGAAAAACTTCCACGGTTGGTGCTGCTTTTGATGAAGTTATGAAAAAAAAATGATAGCGTAGCAGTTTAAGGCATCACTGCTCGAAAAATTGTCCCAATATTTTCAAGATTGACTAAACAATAAAATCAGGAGTTTCTTAAAATGTCAACTTCCAATAAATTTCTATTTACATATTTGACATTAATCGTCGGTTCAAATGAATGGACAAACATATTAATTCTTTCCCTTATCAATGAGGGAAAAAAAAGAAATTCAATTTGAATTAAATTTTAAACGGTTCTCGAATTACTCATTTAATTTTTATGGATTTAGAGAGAAGGAACTAACTAATCAAGTGGAGTATCGATTTGCTTGTCAATTTGATTATATCATCCAGCTGGTAGAACTTAATTTACAGGTAATTGACTCATTTACTTTAACACTAGAGAATTAATCAATCGATATTGTCATATTTAACTATTATATCAAATTTGTTTTGCTTTCTTCAAAATTCCTTTAAAAGAAAAAAAAAAGAATTTTATACGAACTATTTTATTCAGAAACCGTGCATTCCTCGGATTAAAAATGTCTTATTATTGCCATATGCAGTGATACTGTTAATCATTGTTGATTTGTTACCATTTCTATTCATATTTTTCACCTATGCTTGGGATAAATGGCTTAAAGATTCGTCACTTTGCAGTATCGCCAGGAGTCGTATCGAATTAAATAATCAACGGAGGTAATCTCTTCTAAATGCTATTATATATCACCATTATCCTATCCTAGGTCAATGTTTGCTTTTTATGCGTAATTTTTGGCCATTACTTGCTGAAGGAAAGGTAGAGTTAGACTTTTAGGGATAGCAGCAGAATTTAGGATTATTTGACCTTTCTATCTTATTTATATTACAATTTTGGATTCAACCTTTAGACTTATTGAGATAACTGTTTTGCTTATTTAATGCTTAAACTATAAGTTTAACTTTTGTCTGGTTTTATTATTTAAAAAAATTTAAGAGCCTTGAAAATTGATTTTTCAATTCACAATATTTTGCCAAGTTTTTTTAGGCCGCAATCACGCGAGGATATTTTGAAGAAAACAATGGAAGAACCATATTATTTGTAATATTTTAATCGATGAATTTCTATGTTCTGTGCAAACTTTTGAAGGCATTAGAAAAAGTTCACAAAAATTATTTAAATTTTCCTAATGCTTTCAAAATTTTTCGTTTTCTTAACTTTATTTCGTGTTTTTGAAGATATGTTTGGGGACATCACTGATATTTATTTATATTTCTCATTATGTTTTAAATTGCAAATTATTAAATCGTCACTTTCGAACTTTGCACCATTCAATGAATTTTCTGCACTTGGTCGCTTGCTCGATCATTGATGTTAATTGTTGTTGAGTATTCATTAGCATTTAAAATCTGACGACGACCATTTTTCTTTGTCATCAACCAAAAATAGAACTTCGTAGTTTTAAGTCATTAAAGGTTTTCATTTATTCAAGCAACTGAACTTAATTACTTCTGAGAACAATTTGAATCAAACGTATCGGTTGTAATGCTAATAGCATATATTACAAGTATTTATTTCAAGAAATGATTAGCTCGTCTAAAATGAGAAAAAAAAACTTTAAAAAATCTCTCGAAGAGAATATTTTGAATGGATCATTTACAAATTAAAGGAAAAAATGAAGTGGAACTGTTTGGGTTCGATTCTTTCATATTTTGTTTTAATATATACGAAAGGACGAAATGTTATTCCATTAATAATTGGGTAAAAGTACTTATTCTTCTTTCTAAAATTATATTTTCATCATTTCGGTTTCTTTTCCGTTTTCTTTCAAGCTTTCAATAACCGGTTCTTGCAATAAAGCACAATTTCTACTTTCCATCATTTCTGTACCCAAAACATTCCTTTCAATCTTCAAATTCCATTGGCCATATTACCTTCTTACAATGTCACTGGAATATTATTAGCTAAAGTTTTTCCAATAAAAAGCCTAGTGGTTGACAAATACTAATTTGGCAGCAATTATTTCAATCTCTCAAATTGTACCATATATGATTGATTACGCTCCGTACATCCAATATCATTCTGGAATACCTTTCCCATAAATAAGGAAATTGTTAGTAATAAAGTCTCTACTGATAAATTGTTATCATTTATTTTGAAATGTCCATTAGTTCAAAGAAACCTATAACCTATTTTTCATCTGTTCTTCTATCAACTTCATTCCCTTTTCCCATAAATAAAGCTTTTTTATCCATGTTATTCTCTTCATTTATGTTATCTTGTATCACCTTTCGTCTTATCAGTCACTTCTTGATAGGTAGTATAATGGCAAAGATAATCAATCTTTTCTTGATTTGATCAGGTAAATCGCTGAAAACATTATTTGCGTTAATTTTCTATTCAAATTGTTCTATAATTTTAAACCTGTAATACATGAATCTTTTAAATTTTTAAATAGGATCAAATGTATTCAATCAATATTTACTATAATGTGTGATCACTTGATGTCCTTATTATCCGGAATTTTAAGATTTCTAATAATGTTTCAGTATAAATTTAATTCATTTAGATTGTTGCTTCATTGAAACAATAAAATATAGAAACTTGCAATACCAGGTCAGAGGTCAAAAGACTTTGGAGCTCAATGTGTAACTTTTGACAATTGTTTTCAATATTTTTACTACAAAAAATATGTATCATTCCGAAACAGCTGTTGTTGTTTCAATTTTCAAATCTTTTTTGACATTCTTCAAATTTAAATCGTCCAAAAGTGCGAAAACTAACGAGCATTTCCTTTTCAATTTTTTTGATGACTTATAGATCGAGTAGTAATTAAATATTAATTAATTAAGTTTAAGCGTGAAACTCTTGTGCCAGTATGCGCTTTTGCGCAATTCTCTTTCTCTTTTTACACTTTTATTTCATCTGATTCCCGGTATTACTCGAAAGGTTAGCAATGATTGAGGAGGGAATGGAAGTACCGATGAAATAATGAAGGTTATTTTCCTCAAGAGCCATCCCAAACCAAGAAAAAGATGTTTTGACAAATAAAAATGAAATTTGATAACATATCTGAGGGAAAATTTTTAAAACTAAGACTAACAGTTCTGAAAATCTTGAAATTTAAAATAACTCTGATATAAACATTATGATTTAATTGTAAAATTATTACTACAGAATAGCAAAATAGCATATATTTTTGATAGGTTTGATTTGAATTCAACAATCAAATAGCAGTGATAACAGTCTAGTGGAGTGGGAAAATAAATAATTTCAGGAGCTTCAAATGATTCAAACAAAACATTGCCGCGTATTTGACAACTGAAAGTGTCCCTAAATACCTTTCAGGAATAAATGTGGGTGACATGCTATTTGCAATTGTTGTGTACTACTAACTGCACTTAACACTGAATCGAATAGATTGGCGGTAAAAGCAATGCAGAGCGCACTGCAGTAACATTAAAATCAGGTTGATTTTTTTTTTTGAAAACTTGAAAAGAGGCGATAAAAGCCAATTAGAACAGCTTTTCGGTCCACCATATTCATGTTTGAAATAAAATGTTGTTTCCATCTAATACAATGCATCATATATAGAAACCTTCGACAGTACTAGTCTCGAGTGCTGAAAGTTTTGTTCAACTCTCGAATAGCTTAGATATCATTGCATCAGCAATCCCCCGAGGAACACCAGATTGATAATTACGAAAGAAATTGATTATACGCTGATTCAAACTTGCCGAATTACCTCAAAAAAGAGTCCGTATTTTTCGGAAAGATAACTGATTTTTTTTTAAATCACAGTATAATTGAGAAGTTTTGAATGCCAAAGTTGAAATAAAGACTGAAATTTGAGCCATACTAAAACTTGAAGAAATTTGAACCTTAGAGAAGCAGTAAACTTGTTAAATTGTAGACTCTAAAAAAGAAATTCGAACAAACAAAATTAAATTAAGTCTTGCCTTCAAATTTCCATATCATTGTTCACTGATAAAAACCTTTTTAGTCCAAATAATTTTATCACTACTCCCTATTTATCACTATATATTGCATATAATTTCATTATGTTGCCAGGTTTGGAAAATTTTGGAATTCAGCGTGAAAGTGAAAATGTCATCAAGACTTCTTGGGAAAAGCCTTCGTGTGTTGTCCATAAGCGATTAGCAAATGATCGCTTTTTCGATGAATTTCGGCACGAGTATGAGCCAATTTGGTGTTACTGGACAATAAAACACCATTTATAACGATCGTGTCACCAAGTTTGGCACAATTTGGATACCTATGTCAGTATGCGGTTATTAATTATACATAACGGAAAGAGATTGAAAGGAAAGGGACGAACTAATTAATATCCTTGTTTCTGTTCTCTTCCAATAATAATGGAAAATGGCATTTGCAAATTTGAAATATCATAAATGGCAAGATAAATCGGATATTTTTATAACTTAATTTAATAATTTACTTCAAAATCCACTAAATAGATACCACTTCAAAAGCAAATAACGTCAGTTATACTTTGAACATTTTTAATTTTCAAATTTATTATTGAGAAATTAATTAAACTAACGACATGTTCAAATTGATCGAAACGCCCGCGTCACCGATGTTAGTGGTCAGTATTGCAATTGATGTAACTATATCGACGAGTGTAGCTAAACAACCCTCATGTAACTGTCCTGATGAGTTCAAGTGCGCATTGGTTACATCCATTTCAACTTTTGCAGTTCCCTCATTTACCGATATTACGCGACACTGAATTGAAATTTACTTATTTACTTCGTCACTTACTTGCTTAATTAATTACATTTAATGTGGCTAACTGGTAACAACGAGACTAGTTTGAATCTTAAATAAAATTCTAGAAAAAAAACTTAGAATTAGACAGCTCGTAGATTGAAGGGTAGAAATGCTTAAAGTGGCAAACCTGTTCAAAACATTTAAAAAAAAACTTGAAAAATCGTAAAAATAAATGTGGAAATTTTACTTTAAATCAATTCTTACAATTTTGAATTCGAAATCCAGAAATGACAAAAATAAATGAGATTTATTTCCCTCGAAAAAATCATTCCTTTAATAATTTCATTCCAATAAAATATTTAATATTTCTAGACAAAATAATTTAATGACAACCATCAATTTGTAACTTACAGTGCGAACAAATTCAGAAAACTTGTCGAGTGATTTTATAGCTTTTGTCGTCAATTGAAAATATTTGTTAGCCATTCCGATAATTTAATTAATATCTATAAAAAATAAAAACTATGGAAATTCGGAAATTAGATGAGAGAAGGCGATGAAGCAAACTGAATAGAAAAATTCGGTGATCCCAATCTAAGCAATCAGAAAGCATGAGAGTGCCTTCTTGAAATCAACTCTTTCTATTTTCCTAACTTTCAATACGGTATTAATTTTGTTAGCAATTAAAAGGAATGCATTTAAGGATTTGTTCACATTTATTGCAACGATTTTTTCAGGTAAAGTTCTATGATTATCTTTGTTCTCATCAAAATTTCAATATAATCACTGCAAACTGAAGCAAGCAAAGTCTCGAAACAGTACTACTGTACGATTTCAACAAGTTACTTTGCTAGCAATAATCAATTTTTCACAAATGAATTGATTTCAGAAGATTTATTTTGCAATCAAAGTTGAGGATAAAAGATTTCCTGGCCATTTTAACACTGAAATGATTAAGTTTTTCAAAACTTTTTAGAAAATCTTACACTGCCAATCTTTTTCTTTTATTTGAAAGTACAACAACACGATATCTATCTGATTGATAATGCATAATGAGCAAAAATCATTGAATGACAAAACCAAAAATCCAGAAAAAAAAACTTCAGTAATACCTCAAATAACACAAACAATTGAGGGGAATTCATTCAATTCATCATATACTTAATAGCTTTAATATGTTTAATTGTAAAATTTTAAAAGTTTGCGATCAAATTATAATAGCAAAGTTCAGTTCATATGAAAACTGCTTTATTTGCAAGGAACTGCTGTCGACGTTCGCTTTTCTCGGCTTGTTGTAATTTCTTTTCTTCTTGCTCAGCTCGAATTTCTTCCTCAAATCTGCTCAGTTTTGTTTGTTCTTCGATCTTAAAAAATTAAAAGAAATAAAAGATTTCAAACAAAGTGCAGAACTGTTTAAAAACAGATATATATATATATATATATATGTTGAACAAATTATCATACTTGTTATAATATACTTATCTGAGTAACATAGCTATAAACAAATTATTAATCAAAGTGAAATCTATGAGGTCCTGTAGACAATCTAAACTTCTTTGAATGGATAATCAAAAAAAAAGAATGTAAAAATAATTTAAGTGTCAAAGTTTGAAGTTATTAAATTTTCAAAAAAAAGGAAGAAGAAATAGAAACTTTAGCTTCGAAGAAATCAGCAGCAGCATGTACTCCTTCCTTGACAACATCCACCGATGCAGCTAATGCATTGAAAACTTTTGCGCACGACAGTTGACCGGTTGATGCATAACGAAATATAAGCATGAACTCACGTGGGCTTACTTTACCATCCTGATCTTCATCCACCTGAAATGTTTAAGACTTTTGAAGACAGATCTACCTGAAAGCAGGTGTTGTTATCGTGATAAACTCAATGAAAAATCTCATGAACAACAGATTTTGGATGCCAGAAAAACTATTTATGTGTAATGATTTCATGTTTGATTCATTCATGATCAACAATGGATCAATCAGAATCAATCAGTTAATCAGCAGGGCCTATTTTAAAGTACTGTTATTTCCAGAAAAGACTTTCATGTGAACCTTTCTAATACTATTTGCTTTGATCCACCAACTTAATAGAGATTTTAAAATTTGGTTTCTTCTTTTAAGCATACAAAAATCACCAATTTAAGCATGTTTTTTAGCGCGATATGTGTTTGCGCTTCACCCAATTTCTCCATCATCCGTTTCAGTTCATTAAAATCGATGTAATTATCGTGATCTACATCATACCTGTAATTTCAGATGCAACAGTTTACACTCTTCCAACAAATGTCACCTAAAATTACTGGCGAAAAAATGCCAACTATAGGCAGCATTTGTAATAGGGATGATATAACTAATATTAATTATTGGACGAAGAAGAAAAGATTTTAGCTGAAAATGATTTGAAGGACAAAAGGTTTGCTTTTTTCTTTTTTTTATTCAACATATGCATTTGACGTACATAAAATTTCCAAATAACTCATAAATCTTGATATTTGAAGTTTTAAACTTCGAACTCGAAATCCTAAACTAAATTGTGAAATGCTGTTGAAACCAACTTCTTAAATGTTTCCATGAAATATTTGATTTGTTTTCGTGTAAACTCGTGAAATTCGGAATAGACAGAAAGCTTAGGAGGTTTTGCTTGCTCCACTGGTTCACCTGTAACCAATTGTAAACTAATTATCATAAGACAGTCGTTCGACTCATTAATTAATTAATTAAAATAAACCAGAAGAACTAAAGATATAAGGATAAGGCAGAAAATAAAAAAGATAACCTTCAGCGATCATATTCCTTCGAGCCAATTTGGCAGCCAACTCATCACCATCATTACTGGCAGATGACTGAGAATTTGTGGAGCAAGTTGGCGAACTTAGTGCCTTTAGTGCCTGATTCATATCTGTCTTCAAAATATATTTTTATCAATTTGTTTCTATTAAATGTCTTATCAAATTAACACATTGATAGGATGATAACATTAGGGAGAATTGATAGTCAAAAAAATTAATGAATAAACACAGAATTCAAGAATGGTCAAGCTTATCATACTTATCATCCTTTCCCACTTGATAATACATTTCAAGACTTACTATTCATTATTTTGCATTAACTGCCATGCAAAAGAAAAGTGTGAATGTATTGGAATTGTTTGTTGAAAAACAAAAGACAGAAAAGATAATCGTAAATGATTCAAGAAGAAACATCTTTGCATGAATGATTCACACAAAGAACTACCATCTGTGCTTTTTCCCGCTCTTAGACTTTACAAATTTCAATAAATTATTTTTCATGCACCAATTCCTCGTCACATATCCAAATTAAAATTCAAAAAAGTAAATCGAATCTATTGAGAGAGTCAAATGGTAACCTTCAGAATGTACGATTGGAATGTTACTTCCATTGAAAACAACAAATTCAGATTTATAAAAATTGAATTTTACAACAGAATTCGAATTCGACAAGAGAAGAATTCATTGCTTTTGTTTGATTGTACATTTAAAAATATACTTATCCTCTTGAAATCTCACCCGTATAATTAGGCCTTTACAAGAAAAAAAAGTCTAACTCAATGATTTGATAATTCTAATAGGAATATTCGAGAGTGAAGTAATATCCATTATACTTAAGCCAAAGATTGGTTTTCAAAAGAGGTGGACGAAGAGTTAACAGCAAAATTAAATTGATTTTTCCTTCAAATGGGTAAGAGCTCACTACGAGTTACAATGTGAATGAGGATGAGTGGGATGAAAGTCGAATAAAATTATAGATATTAGCCATTCACCAATGGCTAATAGCATTGTAGTCAAGTGGGAAAGTGGTTATAGTAGCCAAAGATATTGAATCATCAAGAAGTGATAGTAACTAAAAATGAGAGAATGAAGGAAAGAAAAGTGCTGGTTGAAGTTATTAATTTCCTGATTTAATTATTTGAGCTAATTGAATATATTATCAGAAAGCGCAAATGACACGTGTTAAGCAGAACAATTACTCAGACTGGTGGCTAAAACGATTAGGAATGCGGCAAAATAGAGAGGGGATAGGTAGAATAAAACTTAATAATATCAATCAATAAAAAGGGACAATAATGGCGAGATGATATCTTCAAATGAAAATTTTTTGAAAACAAATCATTTGGGTTGACTCATCATTGTAACTGTTATAATCAGAAGGAAAGGATGTAAAAAATGTTAATTAATCACCTCGTCAACTTTTTCTGTTGCATATAAGCCGAACTAACGAGTACCCTTAAATTGAAGGAAACCCTTAAATTTTGATAAATTTTCAAATTAGGGAAAAATAAATGAAAAAAGTTATGTTATCATTGCTTAAAGCGAAGTCATAAAATTATGCAAATTTCAATTTCAATAAAATTTTCCCTTCTTTGACATTTTCGATATTTACTCAGGTTGTAGACAATTATATGGAATATGTGTAAACATTTTAGTTACGATATTTGCATAGCTCAACATTTCAATTTTAGATTTATTATTCGTATCTTAAGCCTAAAAGAGAATTCGGAAGATATTAAAGCAATTAGCTTCGTCTATTTCAACAATCAATCATTGCTCTTCTGATAGCACAGAGAGACTTATGAAGATAAGTTATAAACGTTGAACGGAATTCGATGGTTGTATTTGTGGATAGAAGTACAAGGTGTAGCAAGATGGATGATAAGCTGAATTTCAGGATGAACATCAGGAATGGCTACCGTGATCATCAGAAAATAGTCAAAGAATGCGGCGAATAGAGATAAAGGTTAAAGTTCAAGGCCCAATTGGAAAAAAATTTTCCTTCGAAAATTTTAATACATTTTCATAAAAATGAAAAATGATGAACTAAAAAAAAGCTTTTCTTGTTCAATTTTGAACAAAAGATCAAAGCAGTTGAATGAACAGTTCAAAACGAAGAACGAATCACCCGGACGCCGAACAATGACTTTTTTTTCTCCTGAAATGAGTGATGCAACAAATTTTTGAAGTAATCTTTTCTCATCCCATTTCTCTTCTTCATCACTTCATCAATTTATGCCCATACTACTTCATGATTTGCAAATTAATTACGTAAATGAATCGATTCTAAAGTACCACGCGGCACCTAACTGCTTATTGTTTAAAAATTAAATGCCGTGTTCAATTTAAGATTTGAATTTTTTTCGGAAATTTAAATCAGTTTAAAATTATCAAACCACTAAGAACATCAAAAATTTGATTTACTGTCCCCAGTTGAGACGCTAAGCATTAATATGCTAATATCATCCCAAAAGATTCTATCTCTTTCCCTGATACTCGAAGAGAAGATACCACAGATAGTGTATCGCTGTAAAAGTGAAACTTCTAATAGTTCAACATTTTCGATAGGAAGAAAGCAAGAACAAACGAAGTACTATGAAGTGGAGGTTTCAAAATTAATTAAAAATGTTCTTAAATGTCAGAAAAATTTTCACATCTACCATTACATGACCATTAAACCGATCAATAACTTTTAGTGACATATCAATTAAGTCCAGAATTTTTCATCCAATGAATTTTTTAACCAGCTTCAACTCTGTTAGTATAATTTGTTTCCCTTGTCAAGAAATCACTAAATGATCTTCATCATATGAATTGAATTTAATACTAAAGGTATATTAGTATCAAAATAATCATCCTTTCTCTTCACTGATACAAATAGATGAATAAGTGCCAATGATAAACGTAAACGCAAGACTTAGCAATTTATCTAAATTTGTAAACAAACTTGGTGTCGTGACAAATATAACTTGTCGTGAAAGATGGAAAAGCGAATAATTGACAATTTTATTTGCAAAATTCTGCTTCTCCCATTTTTATTAGCATTATTTAGGGGATTTTTGTGAATAGCAAAAGAAAGTCATAAGTTAGTTTTAATGAAAACGATGTAAACTTATTTGTTAGAAAGAAAAAAGTTTGCTTTAGTTTGTCGTTTTCCCAAGCATATTATAGAAATGATTGGAAAACAAATAAACGAATCATAAATTTATGTGAATACCCGATTGGATGCATTTGGTTTCTGATTCAGTCATCAATAAACAGCCGTTATTGATGATGATGATGATGATGATAATGATGATGATGATGATGATGATGGTGACCTAATTATAGCTGGTAAATGAATGTTGGAAATGTGTCTCATTTATGGTTAATTTAACTCGAACTGAATAAGACATCTTTTCAACGGAGTGAAACATAATGACAACTAATAAATTGAGAAAGAAGAAAAATTGATTTTGTAAATAAAAGCAAAATGAATAAACAAAGAAAAGTAAATTTTGGAAGGAAAGTAAAAAAAATAGTATTTTTAGGGAGAGAAAAAAGTTTTGAGTAATAGTGCAGGGACGGTAATGATCTTAACACTGGAAAGATAATACAGCGTATTCTTCTGGTATGTGAATTTACCTAGGGAAATATATTGATTAGATTAATGAAATTTATATCGAGATGAGAACTCGATAGATATCATTTATAGGTGTGACATACGACAACTAAGCATAGAGGTGTGAGGAAAGGAAACTGGCTTAATAGTGACCACTTTTATGATTATTAAATTTGGTTTGCGAGTAACCACCACTTTCATGACCATTGATTATAAAACTTTCTATGCCTTAGTCAAAACCTACTCGACGAATTAATAAGCAGTGAATCGAGGATATGAAAAAGATGTAAAACTGTATTAAAGGTGTTTATGAGAAAGTGAAAATACAATCGCTGGGAATGAAACAGCAGGAGTATAGCAACAACGACACATACACACACAGACACACACACACACACACACACACACACACACACACACACACACACCACA